TAATTGGAAGCCTGGGGCAGAGAGTCGGGTAAACGATCGTTTTTCTAACTGAAAAATAGCGATTCAAAGTAATTTAGCCGAGCAGCTCGCTTGGCGCTCGGTCTCTATAGATCACGCTGGCTCCCGCCAAAGCTGCCTCTTGGTGTGAGAATATTTAGGGAGGTAATATCCGATGTATATTTCTTTGTAGCGGTACCTGCATAAAAAAAACAAGATGTGCTTCAGATATATTTTATTCGTTATTCTGTTGATTTTACATTGTTAGAAAGTTGTAAAATCATTAAAAAAGTAAATTAATCAACGATTTTTTTTTATGTCTTAAGAAATAAATATTCAGTTAATATATTATTCCATGCCATATATTTTATTAATTTGCATTTTGAAATTTTGCATTAAGAGTTTTAAAACTGATTACACAACTTAGACTAAGCACTTATTTTTATTTTCAATATACCTGTGATATATATATATATATATATATATATATATATATATATATATATATATATATGAATCGATGACAGCACTTACACTTTCATGTCTAGCTAAGTCAAAATTTGATGTTTATTTATTTTATATAGGCGCATTGACAATGTCGACTATTTTATAGTATTATTTTACGTGTTTCGCTGTGCAGAATATTAACAGGATTTTTATAGGTACGTAAATCGTTTTCGGATATATAAATCGTAAATTTGATTGACTAAGTATCCATGCCATTAATTATTCATGAATGAAAAGTTACTTATTATTTAATTTGATGACGCTAATCAAGGTGAAGATATTTCGGAAATTGATTACAGCCTTTCAGCGTAAGGTTTTTATCGGACAAATCTGTTCAAATTGCTTGTAAATAAAGTTTTTCCTTCGCCAAAGCTGCGCAACCTCACGATTGGAACATTAATTTTTCAGAGAGATATTCGCTAACATCGCCAGCGGATAACATTTGGAAGCTTTGGCATCTTCAATTAAATCTTGTCTTTGAGATCCTTTTGCTATTCCAGTAATTAAAGCCAGCTAAGACGAAGACACAGCCCGAAGGGCTAAAGCGACTTCCCGTTTGTAGTAACTAAGTGCGTTTGACAACGGAAGCTCGTGTCTCCCCTCCATTTTCAACTGACTTTGGCCCAGAGCACTTTCCCTCTGAAAGCAGTGCCACATCGTCGTCGCATATGGACGACACTCGCAAATTATTACGCAGAGAATTAGCTCCCGTGCCTACAATCACGATATCACCCTCGTAATTAGCTCTTTAGGTTAATTCTCAAACTAGCTTTAAACTCTTGTCGAACGAAAACTTATTTATGATTATCAGTCACATCATTCTATATTATTGTAATTCACTAATTCCATATGTGCACATTGATGTTTGACTTGTGGCTCAAACCGAGTTACCAATAATACTCCATAAAAGCACGTTTTGGGAAAGCAAACGCACGTGCGGCATTATTATAACCTTGTCAACTGACCTCTGCTCTGCGCTGCTTCGCTGGACATCACGTGCTGACCAGAGGGCTTATGTGTGTGTTTGTAGAATCCCCCATGAGAAAGTTTTACCGAATAAAAGGAAAACTGGCTCGTCAGCAAAGCATCAACCCTTTCATCGCGCATCACCAGTTTGTGTGTACACACAGCTCAAGAGAAACGAGGCCCTTTCGGTAATATTAATTTAATAACTCGCTGGAACAATTGACAGGCAATAACCTGCACACGCCCCGGTTATTAGAGAGAAAAAGACTTTCGCTGCCAATCGTCTATCCAGCGGCAAAAAGAAAAAGGCAAGTCGAGCGTCCGTCGCCGCGTCGACGAGAAAAGGGAGAAAAAGGACTATGTGCGTCTGCGTCTGTGTGCTGTTTGTGTGTACGCACGAGTGAGCGATCTAACCCTTCTGTTAGTGTCACTCTCCTAAGCGAAATACTTGGCTGAGCGGAATATATACACAACGGGTAGTTGTTCTTGTTGATTTCATCGCACGTCGCTCAACGGCCCCGAGGGATTTGCCAAAGGGTCAAACGACTAAGAATCTCCCATAGGGTTAGCATTACTTCGCACAAACTTGTGCCCTTTAATTAGCCTTCTTATACTTTCGTAAGCATAAACAATATTCTTGAACGTGCGTAATTAATTTTCTTTGATTGTTAAGCCACTCGAATGTTGGGATTAATTTCGCTCCTTTGGGGTCATCACCTGCAATGTGGTTAGATCTCTATTCTTTGAATTGATTTGCAGATTGCACAGCGTAAGGATATATGATTTGTGTTTTGGCGTGATAGAATGTTAATGGTTTGTTTGAATAATATAATACAAGTATAATGATGTAGCAATAAAATAACAGTTCAAAATATTAGAATTATTTGAAAGAATTACAAAGGTAGATTTTATCAATATTGAACGAATGCTAATATATTTTAATAATAAATTATTGTTTGACTTGATTACACTAGGTAATAGAACATTCATACAAGAGAGTAGGTTTTATTATAAATTGAATATAGATTTCAATATAAAACTAGATTGTAAACAAGTGTCGAATAGCATTCAAAGAAATATCAAAGTGTTTGAATTTGACGCGGAACATGTCAAAAGCTAATTGCTAAGATATAGTCTGTCTCGAAATTCGGCTACAACAGATATATTCCCCCCTCCTGCTTGCCTCCTCGTAAAGACGACGGCCCGAATGTTCGTAATAGCTGAAGCGCGCTTCACAAGTGCTGTCAATCTGGCTACTCTTGCCGCTGCAGAGCCAGACACTGTCGACCGATAACGTACAACGCAGTGACTACGCCCGAAATATCCGCAAGAGTAGGCCGTGTGCTCGAGATTAAAATTGAAAAATTGAAGATAGAACTGTGTCACGAATGATTTACGGGCTTGCTCGGTCTAAAATTAAATACCCCTTTCGTGTATGCGTTCGATCAAACAGTACATTGCTTAACTATAGTTTTTCCACCCTCGTTTCGCTCGGGTATCAACCTCGTGCTAGGCGAGAATCTCTTTTCCGAACATGTGAGCTATACGGTATTTTTCCAATTCGCACGACGCGTTGAAAAACATGAATTGACGACTTTTGACTCGTTGCAATGAGAAGCAAATCGAAAAATCGTGCAACGCATTGCCTCTGCAGGTTTCAATAATGAAAAAGTCGATTACGCACGCAGACCTACATTCGCATAAATTCCGTTCGGTCGCTTAAAGTGTATTACAAACGTACACGTGGCGCAGGTGCAAAAATTGGTCGCGCTCTCTCTCTCTCTCTCTCTCTCTCTCTCTTTCTCTGTCTCCCTTACTCGCATGGCTTCGATATAAGGCCCCACACCTTCTCTTTCTCTCGTTCAATTTCGCTCAGCGAAGCAGCTTTTACAGCTGCATTCCGCAGCGAAAAGATCGCCGCTATTTGCTGCTACAGAAGTCTCGAGAGGGTAGAGAACGAGAAGACGTGCCTTGCTGCTCGACTACTTCAATTCCGTGCTTTTCTTTTTATGCTCTCTGGCACGTAGCAAAAGAGAGAGAGAGAGTGTGTGTGTGTGTGTGTGTGTGTGTGTGTGTGTATGTGTTATGCACTGTACGAAGGAGCAAAAGAGAGAGATAGAGGATAATTTGCCCTCGGAAAATGACAGGGTGCGCGTTCGCGCGCATGCACCAATGCACGTTCGAGCTTCTACATGCATCCGCAAAAGCCGCGGGGAGGCTGTACTCAAAGATTGTATGTGCCTTTAGCTAGTTGTTCAAGTATCGGATAGCCATTTCCGCGTACATCGGGTCACGTGCGCATAATGTCGTTTGTCGCTTCTTTATTTTTTTATTTTTCATTACTTTATTTTACTTTATTTATTTATTTATTTTTTTTTGATAAGCTAACATTTGACAGGGAAAATGCTTTTAACAACGGCAATACAATTCAATAAGAAATTATATCCAAACATTTGTGGCAATAAGCGTAGTTAACTTTTCTGAGTGAAGGTCACGCACTCATAGTCAACAATCAATAGGTCCGTGCCATTTGGCAGTTAGAGAAAAAAAAGAGTCATTCGTTAGACGGCTGCGAACGAGAGTAATAAATGTGCCACAATGTAGTAACGAGCCATGCGTGTATATATATATGGGAATGCGGTGCCTCTCGACCTTAGCTTCATAGGTATACTCTGCTACGACCCTCTAGAGACGCGATTTGTCAACTCGTTAGAACGGCCTGTTTCAGACCTCACTTCTGGAAGAATAATACAACGTTTGATATTTTGCTATTCAAGCTTTGATACTAAGCATGTGCTGATTGAATGAACAAAGGTGTAAAAGAAAATAGTATCAATATTACTATGATCATATTAGTTACTTATGTATCTTGGGCGAGCCAAACGCCAATATGGTACAGGGAAGATGTTTCTGGCATAGTATAGTATAAGACCGAGGCAGGGAGCGAATCCCGTGCTGCAAACATAATCATCGACAGTATTCATCACTTTTATTCACTTCACTCACTGCCTCAGCATTGTGCTATCCCGCGCTCCACACACTTTCCTCGGCTGTACTCAGGCCTGTCTCGGCTAAGCTATATAAATAACTATAATTTCGTCTTCAATACTTACCCTCTTAAAGGTAAATTCTCCTTTACTTTTAATTTTTAATTTTACATTATTCATGTTATACATTATATTCATTGCTGCAATAAAAAAGAGTCACAGACACGGTGTATGCAAACATTGACACAAATGGTTTTATAAATTGTCATCGTGTTAATAGATCACAGTACTGTTATTATTGATTTTATTGCTATAAATTTTATCCTTTATAAACTACAGAAATTAATACATTTGCATTTAAATTATATTATGTTTTCTGCATTAGCCAATAAAAATATTAAATTAATATTATCAATTTTCCACATCGAAAATTACATTTATTTCGGATTTTCGAAAATATTAACGAATTTTAGGCAGTACAATACATCTTTCCACAAGAAGGCCAAAAATAGACAGACATTGTTAGAAAGAAATACAAAAATATTAATCGTTTCTTAAACTTTTTATTCTAATTTCTAAACATGTATTGTTTTTATTAATTGGAAGACGGTAATCGTTAATCAGTTCCAGCAAGCCTTATCCACGTATTAACAAAGTGTTGGACACCTTATTTCTATAAGAATAATTTTACAACGATTGATGTTTTCGGTATTTAAGCTTTGTTACTGAATGAACGATAATGCAACAAAATTTAGAAATCAATTATTTCATTTGCGGTCAACGGTAACTTCAAAATTGAATAATTAAACTTTATGGTTATACTCATTCCTCAATAAAAGAAAATACTACTATTTTACATATATAGACATATACATGTACACGTAGCGTTTTTTTTAGTTTCAACAATTAAATAATTTTGTCCTAATTATTTTGAAAACTTATCAGGAAATGGATAATCTGGATGATGTTCGATCCTGAAAATAAATTTTTTCTTTGAGAAATCGTGATTATCATAACTTTTTCTAAGGCAATACATACCCTGTGAGAGAAAGGAAATCGAATTTTCGATATTTCCCATGCTGATCCAAAGATTTCAATTTATTCATTTCTTCTTCAGTTAATGCAAAATTGAAAATATCGATATTTTCCTTTATTCTTTTTGGATTGGTACTCTTTGGTATGACAACAATGTTTCTTTGCAAACCAAACCTCAACAGAATTTGACCGGGTGATTTATTATGGACTTCAGCAAGTCTAGCCACAACGGGGTGTTTGATTAGCGGTGGCAAAACAACAGTTTCGCGTTTCCGTCTCATCTGAATAAGACCACCTGATCCTAAAGGACTATAACCCGTCATAACAATTTTCAGTTCTTGGCATAACTCACGCAGCTCTTCTTGTTGTAGATAAACATTTGATTCTATCTGACCAAACATTTTTATATTACACAGTCATTGCAATACGCCATGGTTTGTTTTAATAATTATATTTACCTGTAAATTGCTTGGTTTAATTTCAGCGAAATTCCAAAGGCGTAGTAATTGAGTTTTGTTGAAATTACTTAATCCAATTGATTTCACTTTGCCAGCTTTAACTTGTTTTTCTAGTGCCTAAAAATATATCTGACATCGTTATCCCATTTATTTCGCTCTACCAACTATCTTGGAGAAATTATGTCTCAGCACAAAAACTGTTTCACTTTATCAAATGATAGCGCACTTGATTACTGAATTATAATTTACTCACTCTCCATATAGCAAAGTGATTCGTTGAATAATCAATCGCAAAAGATTCATTATCGTATTTGAGAATTTGAAAATCTTCTGTTCTTTTCATGCCAAATGGTACATGGATGAGGTACATATCAATATAATCTAATCCTAGGTTGCTCAAAGATAGTTCTAAAGCTTTTTCAACGTCCGTTGAGCGCATAGCCATAATTGGTAGCTACCCATATGATGGACAATATAAAATGTAAAGCATTAGTAAGATACAAAAGCAAATAGGTGATACCATTAACAATGATGATATTAAAATAATTTTAGTTATTATTTACTTTAGTTGTAATAAAAATATCTTCTCTCTTGTTTCCCTTCGCAAACCATTTTTTCAAAGTATGACCAATGTCCTTTTCATTTTCATAAATATATGCAGCGTCAATATGCCTGTAGCCACTTTCAAGAGCAGAGCTCACAGCTAAGTCAGTTTCATTTGGAGTCATCTGAATTAGTAAGAATTAATTATAAGATTTGGTTTCAAATGTTATAATGAATGCAAATCTATGTTACCAAAAATGTTCCGAATCCAACTTTTGGCATCTCATGACCATTATTTAATTTGTAAACAGGCACTGATTTTGAGAAGCCATAAACAATTCCAAAAAAACATGTTAACGTGGACACAATTATTAAATTCATTATTACAGTCAATGCAAAAATTAGTTTCTCCTGTTTTCAAACAATGACAGCTTCCTACATTTCTTAGCACGTTATATACCGCATTAAGTATTGCAATGAAAAATAGTCACAGGCACATTGTGTACAAATATTGATATAGGTGGTCTTTCAAGCCGTTATCAATTATAGCTTATTAATAGATCATGGCACTTTTGAGTATTAAATTTATCGTTACCAATTATATCATTTATAGTCAGATTAATTCATGCTTATAGCAATAATCAATAACATGTTACGTTGCTATTATTAATGTTCGACATTGAAAATTATGACTATCTTGACTTTTCGCAAATACGAATAAATTTCTGAAAATTGCAACACTTATTTCAACAATGAGTAAGAAAGAAAGAAAAGACTATAACTCATTTTAATAAATGACATCCGGGGTTGTACTCTTTAGCATAACAATAATATTTATTTGCGCATCGAATCTTAACGAAACCTGAACAGTTGACTTGTGAGCTTCACCGATTCTAGTTACCACTGGATGTTTACGAAAGATGGTAGAACATTAGTTGCCTGCTACTTTCTTTTCAAATAAATCTACTTGATCCAAGATGTCAAAACAAATAGCCAAAACATTTACTAACCGTTGGCATAATTTATGTAACTCTTCTTGTATCAGGTAAGCATATACGTATTTGTTTCTAATAATTTTCATTCCGTTACATAAACACAGTCTTAATTCGGAAATCATCTATAAGAATTAAATGATCTCTGCATATGTTGAATGTTCAAAAGATACAACTGCATTTGAATAAATCCAAATGACTTATCAGAAAATTGCACGTACGTCGACAAAGTACGCCTTAACAACGATAGTGATCAAAAGTAGAGCACTCGAGGCACCCTCGCGCGACAAATCCACCAAGAGAGTATACGTAGTATAGTACGAATAGAAGGATAGAGAGTGAGAGAGATAGAGTTGCAGTAATAATGCCCGGGGGCTCGTGACGGATGTCGGTGCGCTAAGCCATTACGCCGAATAGAGAGCCATTGGTCACTCCGCGAGCGTAGCTCGAATTGACGAATGGTAATGAGTTCGCCTTGTTAAACGACTACCGACGATGTGAGCGAGACACACGTACACACGCTCACGCGGAAGAAGCTCCCAACTGGAATTAAACAGACGCCATCTAATACCGTACGGCTTTCCTTTGCCTCGTTGGGTTGCGAGTAACCTGCGGGTGGGGTCTCGCTCGTTCGCTGCGCGTGTGTTTGTGCACACGCATTCCATTGATTGATATTTGGCCTTGTAATTTAGCTGTCGCTCAACCATTTCTATTCAAGCTCTGGCCTCGCAAGGCCTTTTTCAATTAAGACGAGTGTCGACGTTCCGATGCATTTGCTGACATTAAGGGTCGGTAACGAATTCCTAAGGCTATTGCAAAGTTCAAAATTTTTAAATGGGATATTCCCATGACAACCTCGTCCCCTGCTCTCCCGCATAAAGCCAAAAAGTAGCAAGTCGAGAGAGAGAGAGCTCCACGCGCGTGCACTTTCATTTAACTCGTTACTAAGCTGCCTCGGCGTTCAAAAGTCAGCGAGTGTCTCACACTTCACGCTTATATATCTCGTTGAGGCACCGAACACAAAAATAGCCCGGTATGTGTGCGGGTAACTTTAGAAAGCAAAGTTGGAGTCCTCGTCGGCAGCTTCACTCTTCTCATGATTTTTTACTCTCTCGCTCGCTCGCTCGCTCGCTCGCTCACCTTTGGCTACCGTAAGAGCTACCGTACAGATACTACACAGACAGACACCTACGCGCACATAACACAAGCCCGCGCTCGCCACGCGGGAATATCAATGTCCAAAGAGAGAGAGGATATCCCCTTGTGGACCGAAACAGCCAAAGGTGCGAGAGTTGCAATACCTAACGGACTTTATTCGACATTGTTGAATGGCGTCAGCTGTAAAAATGATAACGGATGAGCCCGACGGTAAAAGAGAGCCCCGTGAACTACGCGCGCGTACAGCCCACTGGGTAATGAAGTACGGTCAGTGTATGGACCAGGCTTCCCTTCTTATCTCTACTGCCTTGTGTATCTCCTGCTGCAGTCGAACGCGAAGCTCGCTAACGACGAATGTACGTTGCTATTACTTGGACGTTAGCTCGCTGGTATCAATTGATACCTTCACGCCAAATCTCCAAGGATGACTTTGCCTATGCCAAGTATCACGTATTTCTGCAACGATCCATGTTCATTTATATGAACGCCAATAGCCATGAATCTTGTGCGTAAGGTCCTATGTAGCAGGCATTTGGAGAGCCATAAAATTGGACATTATTGCCGGGAAAGCCGAGCGCGCCACGTAATTAGCACTTCACGATGCATTAGCGCTACCCTTAACTTATACGCTCTCTCTCAGACTCGCGTTCGCGTTCGCTCTCTGTCTTTAGTCCCTTCTCTCGCTCTTTAACGGCTCTGGGGAAGTCTATGGGTCCAAGCAATAAACTTCCAATGACACGTGGACTTTTGTTCGCCGTATTTTCTTCCTTTCTTTCCCAGGCTATTGTTTACTCTCCGTTGATAACCGTTCAAACCGTACGATCGGATCGACACCGTAAAATTTCGTCGAGTGTAAGCTGGACACGTGAAATTTGGTTTTTGTAATCTCGTGGAAGGCAAGTTCGTGATGAAAGCTCGACAAAACGAAAAATGAAGAACGAGAGAGAAAAACAGCGGGTGAAACTATCGTTCGATATTTCCCACAGTGTGCGCGCAATTGAAAATCAATCTTTCAAAAACTATTTACAGGTCACATAACTCTCTCTCGCTCTCGGTTTGGCTTGCTGTGAACGTGCAAAATCACGAGGACAAAAAGATAAGCCATCGAAAAGCCTCTCTCTCTCTCTCTCTCTCTCTCTCTCGTTGCATAGTCTATATACAACGACCATCGATCGAACGCAGCCGCTCGTAGATCACGCGTCGCTCACGGACGCCAATAAAACGATAGTGTATATAACACAGCGATCTTTCGCGCTCGACTAGAAGCGTGACGCGGCCAAAGATAATATCCCAGCGTTTAACGACGGACGCGAAACAATCTCGCGCAAAATATATGTATGGCCTTTCCGCGATCTATACACACGTACACACACTGGCGCGCTATGCCTCGATATATATAAATTTGTCTGGCAGCCTACCATCTTTTTCTGCCTCTGCGCGAAGATCATTACGGCGGCGGCCTCGTTCGTCGACCAAATTGCGACAATTGGCCTCTAATAAAATGCAGCCCCGAGAGCTCGACTGCTGCTGCTGCTTTTCGATTCGGAGTTTCCACTCAGCGAGATTAGTCTTTTATATTTCGTGAGACAGAGGCAGAGAGGGAGAGAGTCGGGGAATTGAAATCGTTAAACGGCCGAGTTTATCGGCGTTATATGCGCCCTCGATATTGCATTGAAATATTGAACTTGTTATTAGAGTTGCGATAACCGAATTAAAACAGCTGATCTGTCTGGTACATCGTCTGCGAGAGAAAGACGATCTCATTATGTGCCGAAGCCTCTACAATGCGCAACCGAGGAAGAGAACTTATTTGCTCGTATAGTAGACAAGCGAAACGCAATTGGCTGCTATGGCTGCTTCTTTTTTAGATTACTAGGATAATTATGTAACTGGACAATAATATGATAGAGCCGAGCACGATCAATCATCGCGAAAAACCTGCTCTGCGCGCAATCGCAACGCTAGCTTTGTCTTTTCTCCGATACGGTAGAAATTTAATTATCTGCCGAATAACGCAATACCGGCTCTATTTAAACTGTCAATATTCAATCTCTTTCTCGCGGATAAATATTCGAGTGTATTGCCGATAGATATTGGTATTCTTACGACCAATATAAATTGGATATCCATGGAGAGATAGAGCGGATTGCCCAATACAGCCAATCAAGTAGGTAATATTAACAATAACAATAATTCACAATTTCGCGTGGCAGAGCCATCGAATTATCTATATATATATATATATATATATATATATATATATATATATATATATCGCCGATGCCATTGCCTACGCGCTACGTATAGAAACGGCCGCCTTCTTACAATTTAATAATTAATTAAGTGTCGATTATAAATCAAAAGGTGCGTGCGTCATACGTATACCTACCATTGTTTTGCGTGAGGGTGATGTTGTTAGCTATAGAAGATACGTGTCGTGAGTGCAGAGAGATCATTTTTGGAAAAGAGCACATCGCGTGGCTTGCGTATCGAGGGGAGGGATGAAAGGACACGCGCTCCTATAAATCTCGCGGACGTATTATCTCGGACAGATCGCTCCACGGCTCAAATTGTATTGTGGCGCTTGAGGGCTAACCAATCTGCCCAGTTTTCACCTCGCCTATTCGTCGTTCATTTTCTTCTCCGCAGATGGCCTCTTTCACCAAACTACGCAAAATTGTCACGCCAGCTCGATATATTTCAAGGCTTTCGTAGCAGCCAACATCAATTCACTTTGGCGTGTCTTTCAAAATATGCCATATTTTCCTTTTAAATGAACTGCCAGATCTGCACAGTTGTCTATTTGATTTTCCGCACCGCATACGTCATCTCTTTCCCACAACTACTCTGGGGAGCATTGAGATATCGCACATTTAAATGCATTCTCCATTACACTAACATACTTTTTTCCTCTCTCTCCGCTCCTTAAGGACCTCTAAATTACCATAGCGAGTAACTCGCGTGCAGGAGTGAGAGCGCGGCGCAAAGAAAAGAGAGAGAAAGAAAATGTAATCGCTTGTTATAGCTACCCGACACGTAATTAATGCGCGCGCGCGCGATTGTTAGACGGACAAACCGCGGCCCCGCACACCGAATGATTTACTACGTAGCGGCCTCTAGGAAACGCGAGCTCAACACGCGGAAGCGTCACCTGCGCGAGGGAGCTTTTGCTACCGTTACGGTGCTATTTTTTAGGAGGCGGGCGTTCTTCCGTTTTTTTTTCCTTTCTCGCGTGCACCACGTGCGGCATCGCGGGCAAACTTGTGGGATTCGACGATAAACAAGATTT